TGTTCAGGGCTTAGGCTCAACCCTGACCCTAGACCCTGCACCCTAAATCCCTAAACCCCAGGTAGGGGCCCACGGCCTACTTTGAGTATCAAAACTTCTGGTCAAAACCGCAGTCCAGATCGTAATTGATCTCAGGATTCGTCCTCAACTAAAACCCTCTAGACCTTACATTCTAAACCTGAAACCCTAAACCCTACACCCCTTAAAACCCTAAACTCCTGCAACAGTCCGAGTACCCGATAACAAGATACATCGAATTTCGGTAGAAGCCGAAGACCGCCTGAAACCCAAAAGGCATGCAGAATAATTGCCTTTGGGGCTATCAGTACCTGAACCCCTAAACTATGTAGAATTATAGCTCTTTTGGGCTGTTTTTAAGGGCTTAGGACTATTATTTTACATACGTTTGGGGCTATTATTCAACCAACCTTTGGGTTATCAGTCTTGTCTAGTGCCCCCTTCATCCCAGGGTCCCTTTTTTATACCTATCATGTACATGTGAACTCTTACAAGTCCATTTAGGGTAGCTTCCCTAGATAGGGGGACCCCAATATAGACCCCCAAAGACTCTAGACTCTAATCCTTATTATAGGGACCCCCCCAAAATGTACCCCGAGTTTTGGGAAACCCAAGACCCTAAATAGTAGCTTCCATTTTATTTTCCGTTATCCCTACATAACCCCAATATAACCTTAAAGGTACCCGTAATTTTAATCTCATAGCTAGCTAGGACCCGGGAACAGGTACGGACCCATCTCAAGGGTCCACGGTACGCTCTGTGTCCCGCGGTTTAGTTTTTTTTTTTTGCTGCTGGTTTAGGGTTTAGGGTTTAGGGCCCTAAACCCTCAACTCTGGATGCCTGAGTCGATTTCTGGTTTGGGGTGTTGGGGTTTAACCCCTGAGGGCCTGGGGCAGTTGCAGGTGACGAAGCGGGTGTAGGGTTAAGGTTTAGGGTTTAATCTTTAGGAGTTTGACCGAAGATTCCCCGAAACTTCAACCCTAAATCCTAACCCAAAGCCCCAAAACCCTAAAGCCAAAATTCAATTCCGAACCGGACCCCAAAAACCTAAATCTCTAAACTCTCCAGCCGCTAAACCCTAAAATCCCTAAACC